TGGCCGACCCCCGGCGTCGGAAGGAGTGCATCCTTTCTGGGCCCGCAGAGATGGACCTCCTTGTTTGTCTGGTGGTGGGTCGTCTCGTCGACATTCGCGAATAGCGCTGCTCTTCTGTTGCTGTTGCTGGGCGAGGCTCTGGATCGTCGTAGAGCTCGGAATGCCTTACTGGGGCAACAGGCTCACTAGCCGATTGTTCATTATTTGCCTCTTCTTGCTGATGACTGTCCAGCTTTGTTGCTACCTTGTCGAGATCGGGTACCAGGGTGTCCGATATGACGGGCACTGGCGGTGGCCCGGTGTCGTCAATGATCACTATCGACTTGCTGCCACTGGTGATGGCGCTGTGTACGCGAGGGTCTTGTGCTTTCTGGCGCTCCTGCTGAGTTGGGGTACCACGCCTGTCGAACTCAAACTCGAATCCACCGAGATCGGGGGGCTCAAGACCGTGTTCCTGACTTTCACTTTCAAGTTGCTCTTGGACAGCCGCTCTAAAACTCTCTGCAACTGCGGCGGCCAGGACGTCAATGCGCACCTGGGGCTTTGGTCGAGTGGGACGTCGCTTATGTACGCCTCCTGAGATAGAGACTGAAGACATGGCGCCTGGATTGGAGGATCGCACGTATGGCGGCTGCCGTTGTTGCCCAACGCTACCTAATTGAGGGCTTGGACTCATATTCTGCCGGGTGCTTAACGCGCGGCGTACACTGCCGAAAATCTTCTTCATGCCTGGGGAAGTCGCATGCCCGGGCCTCTGGAATTCGTTCGCTTCCGCATCTTCGATGTCATGCAAATACTGAGATCGTGAAGGGCGCAGAGCTCTGACCTCGAAGTATGGGGAGCTGGGCTGGAAGAGTCCACCACGTACTAGTGTGCCGGGCATGTTTGTAACAGCAGACATGGCAAAATCTGCGGGTGCGTTTTTGGGAATGGATAGTGGCGCTCTGCTGTCGCGAAGAGCATCGGTAAAGCTGCCGCTGCGCTTGTGGCCATGCGATGGGCGGTGAGCGTTCTTGATGGAGGCTGGTTGTTGTGGACTAGCTGTCAGGCGAGCGGTGCCGGTGGGAGCTGGGTTGCTGACTGGTACTGGGTGGGGATATAGGGGAAGCTCGACAGCCTGATCGTGTTTGTGCCGCATGGGTATTGAACATGATAGTACGTGCATACTCTGCTCACTGGCGGGCGATAGGGGTATCTGGTGGTTCTCGTATTCTTGCGAAATGTAAGGCGAGCTCATGGAGTTCTGAGGCGTATGCCGTGCTCTCTGCGCCCAGTCCATATGCCGGCTAGCAAAGTGGTCGCTTGGGTTTGAGCCGATGGTCTCCTTAGTATCCCGGATGTTGGCTCGTGGGGGGGTTGAGGGCAACGGGATTGGTGGAGGAGGCTCTTCGTATGCCGCTTGTGATCCATCGTGTCCGCCCGGGAGTAATTCATCATCCGCAAAGTTCTGGCCAATGTGGTCTTCCATCTCCCAGTATAATGCGCACGTCCGCCTCCAGCACTTCTTCAGTTCCCCTACAATCTTTATGTCACCCCCACCTCCATCTTCTCGGTTCCGGAGATCGTTGTACAGGCTGTTGACAAGGTCGCAGAAATTGGTCCGTAGGGAGTAAAAGGGCATGAAGTCGTCAACGAAGTAGTTCAGGATCCAATGGCGGAGGGCTACGAAGGTGCGTACACGGACAATGCGCCCAAAGTCGTCTTGGCGGTCGACGGCCCATCGTAGGCGGGAGATGAGGTATGCGACGAGATCTCGGGTGCAGAGGAAGGCGCGGAAAGTAAGGAAGAAGTCGGAGAGGAGTTCGTAATCCAGGAAGCTGGGCGAGGTGATGTGCGCAACGAGTCGGGAAGGGGTGGCTGCGAGGATGTCGCCGTCGGCGTTGAAGCGCACAACGGCGCGGTCGTCGGGGTTGGTGGTGAGGGCATCGTAGAGTCGGGGGCTAATAGGCATGTGGGAGACGCGCGCTGAAGAGGGACCAGAGGGGGGCATTGGCGGGCGGTCCATAGTGGCGCGGAAGCGGTGGGGGACGGGCGAGTAGGCGTCTGATCGAGGGCGCGACGACAGGAACGACTGCCGCACCCCTCGATGTGGGGTCAGGAGCGAGTTCGCAAAGTCGTCGGCGCCTGAGGTTCGGGTGTAGACCGAGGAGCGCAGGTCGGCGGTCCCCCGTGTGCTGAAACGCGGAGTGCCCAAGCGGTAATGCGGTATGGGGACCTGCAGCAGCGGGAACGACGACGTGTCTGCCGTCCTCGGGCGCATGTGCGACGGGCGCTCAATCACCACCTTGAAGGTGCCCGGCTCGTGGCTGAGCGTCGTGGCCGTGTGGTCGTCGACGGTGGAGAACGAGTGCGAGCGCGCGTGTGCGAGTGGGCGTCCAGCGGAATCGGCTTGGGAGTGCTGCTGGAAGGCATTGCCCTCGCTCAGGTCCGGTAGCGGCGGTGTAGGTTCCGAATGGGGTGTTCGCGAGCCGTACAGACTCTGCTCCCACTCATTGCTCAGCGGCCGGAGTTTGTCGAGTGTTGCGCTATCGGGCGGCGTCTGGGGCGGGAAGACGAAGGGATCCGGCTGACGGCCTCGCTGGTTTCCAGGACGGGCTACAGGTCTGGGGGTGTCAGTCTACGAATCTACGAATGGTTGGTGTTGAGGTTGGTGAGGCATGGGATCATGTGAGGCATGACGTGCGCCTTCCTCGCGGGCTGCGTCCACTGGTCGCTCTTTCCTCATGTTCATGATGTTTACTGGCCGTAGAACATCGGCCGTAACATCAACACCAATCTCGACGTACCTCAGGTATATGACGCCGTTGTGGACGTTCGCAACCGTGTAGCTGCGGCCGGCCGAGGTCGAGTTGCTCGTCGTCGTGTCGATGGTGGCGTTGCTGGTGCCGCGTGCTCTCGTCCTCCTCTTGAGCTGCTCCCTCGAGTCCTTCACCCTCCGCAGGCGGCGCGAATCATCAGCGCGCCTTTTTGCCGTGTCTGAGCCTGCACCTGCACCCGCACCGGGCCAGATGTCGCGTTTCCCTTCAGCAGGGGAGCCCGGCGCAGGGAAGACATTGTGTTGCATTGCCGGTAGGGCCATCCTCCCCCATAGCACTTCAGCTCAGCGGGTACATGTGCGTGGTTGTCATCGACGACTCGAACTGTGCAGACGTCTTAATTACAAGTAGCAAGAGGGAATCGACTAGAGTTGATTCATGTGCAGCCCTGTCACATCGCCCAGCGCGCGCCATAGCAAGCCATTCACCAGTCAGCGCCCGTGTCGCTTGGGCTGAACGCCGCCTGCATTGACCCAGGCCTGGCCGGGCTAATCTGACCTCGCTTCACTCCGTTGCTCCGCCTGGTGAACAGGGAAGGCCAAGTGATTACAGGTTTGCCCGTCTGCTTGCATCGCCGCGCACGCACTCGAACCCGCTCCAATGCAGCTGCGAACTGCTTTTTCGCTGCCCCTCGGTCCCCGTCCTGCGAACGGCCGCCACGCGCCTCTGCCTCGACACCCAAAGCCACTACTGCCATGCTACTGCGATGTTACGTCGGCTGCCGGCCGATAAGCATCCAGCCACGTGAATATAAGGTTCCTCCCACTTGCCATCCCCGTGACCCCGAGGGTTGTTGATCGAGGTTGATCAAGGTTTCTACCCGCCTTGATAGTCGTTGTGCAACGGCCTCCACTCCCCCGTGGCCGCACAAGATTGCCAAAACAACAACGCATAGGACAATCAATAAACACATCATTCGCCCTGCGCTCCTGTACCAGGGTCCTGCCGTTTCCAGGCGACCACGCATCCATCCAGTGCCGCGATCTGCCACTGCATCGGTACTTTCTCCTCCCTGGCGATCCAACGCCGCCATTGGCCACCCTCATCATCTCGCTAAACAAGTGTTTCCCTCCATCGCAATCCCTTAGCATCCTGCAAACACCAAGGCGGCTCATCTCCGACCCTGCGCAACGTCATCAACATCCCTCTTATGAAACAGGGCTCCCTTCAACAGTTGCTGCCGCAATTTTACGCATCCACACTGACTACACAGGATTTTAACGTCTAATGTTCAAGCTGACTCGACGCGCATTATCACGTACATCATCTCTGCCCGTTGCGTCAGGCTGCAATCCCACAAGCGCACTATAGTAACACCCCGGATGCCCATCAAACCGCGAGCTACTGCACGACATCAACCATGGTACCACCTGTCAAGTCGTGCATCTGGCCTCCACCGCTTGACACCTGTAAGAATACACAGACGCCCACACACTAATTCCACCTTACAGCAAAACCTGCGCCGGTACATCTAGCTCGTGCCGACCTAAGCCGAGCACACCACCCAAAGCACTTGAAAGCCATATGCAGCAGATACGACAGTAGTGGAGTGTGTTTTCGCAGACCGAAGAACTGCCTGATGCACAGCACAATTTTCTATATTCGGCACGACCTGCAGACTCCGACTTCGCCTCGTTGTTATCCGGGCCGAATGGCGGAGCAAAAGGGACGAACCTAAGCTAATCACCCTGAGATTTTCGATACGAACGCGCGAATGGACAGGATGGTAGATCTGCGGTGCATATCACATGTACCGAGATCGGTGGAGATGTGTCGTGAAGGGCAAGATCGTTCTCCGACAATTTTCGCGTCTCCTTCCGCAAACTTATAAGAATGCCTGTGCGAATACACCGACATGTTGGATATCCAATACGAGGTGTTGCCTATCCAAAACCAATAAATAAGAAATAAGAAATACGGCAGCCTCGAAACACGTGAAAGCCTTATATTGTCAAGAGACGATACAAGACGCATCGGATACCCCCGGCCTACCGCCTATCCAAAAAGACGATTCATGGTTCGCTCAAAAAGGATACCCCCTCACCCCATCTTCAGCACCAACATCTAAACCCGCCTCCACCTGCTCTTGATGTTTCCCATCTAAATACTCCAACAGCACATCCCCATACATCTCCTTCCCCTTGTACCGACTCACATCGTCCCCCCAAGAACGAACCGCACTGGCTAGTCTACCCGGTACATACGGCTCCTGTGCGATTTCCGTGATGGGGTGGAAGTAGGTCCGGATTGTGAAGACTACGCCGCCGGATTTGGGGAGCCTAGATCGTACCCGTCAGTGTCAGAGCCTGTATCTTCTTGCAAAACGGCAATATATTGATGAGATGGGAAGGGAACGCAGGAATTCGTGATGTGGGAAGATGCGAAAACATACCGTCTCAAGCTCTGCCTCTCACTCCTAAACCAATGATGCTCAACCGCCTTGTTCTTCTCCGCTGTAAACCAGCCTATCCCGCCTTCTCCCTCTGTATCTTCAGGCCCTATACTAGAGCTCCACGCGAGATTGTCGTCGACTTGGATGAAGTAGTTGTTTCGCAAAACAGGGGACTGTGGTTGTATCCGCCGGAAGAAGTTGGACATTGGTTTTTCGAGCTTGGTTTTGAAACTGGTGGGTGAGCGTTAGCGGGCGATATGTTGATGAAGGGTTTGAGGATGCATGTGGATGGGGAGGGAAGAGACGTACCCGGGCACGTCACCACTAGTATGGATCTCACTCAATGGCATCCCAAACTTATCCTCCAGTCTCCAAAACCCCGCTAATAGAATTGCACCAGCGAGGAGATAATACTGTCCATCCTCCTTCTCCACCATAATAGCAAGATCATCCTGAACCAACCTCGCACACATCTCCATCGCATCTTCCCTCCCACCATTCCTCTCAAGTCTTCCAACATCGAAGATTTCGCCCGTGGCCAAATTCCTAAATCCATTCTTCATACCCTCGGAAGGGGGGATGGTCTGGAAGACGGTGGGATAACGTTGTGGTAGGTAGGAAGACAATTCCTCGAGGAGTTCCACTGCGGCGGGGACGGCTCCTGGGGCTGTTTTGATGCATTTTGAACCTCGGTCTGCTATTCTTCTTGCTTTTAGGTCGTGGAACTGCATGTACTGATTGTCGAGTTCGATCCATTCGTCCCAGTTCATGTTGCGAAGACCCATTGTGATGTTGTACTTGGGGCCGTGGCGGAAGGGACGGTAAGGTAGGGGCTTAGTGGTCGTGAGAGAAAAGGATGGGTAGGGAGTCGCCGGAGGTCGGATGAAGTCTGAGGGTGGCCATACTCCTGGAGGGCGATCCGGTGTTTTAAACGGAGATCGTTTCTCGAGGTTGGGTGTACTGGGTCGTGGATTGTTTTGTCTGCGGGCGCGAATTAGGTTGGTGGCGGCGATGGTGAAGTATGTGAATGCGGCGAAGAGGAGGAGGGAGTAGAGCGCTGCTTTGGGTTGGATATCAGTCTGTTTGAGGACGTTGTTAAGGCGGGTTTGAGCGTTGGTGCAGTGCTGTTGTATGTCACGTGCAAGACGTCTGGCATGCTCGTCCAGGTCGGTGATAAGAGCAGCCATGATGAACACCAAGTAACAGGACTACTACTACAAAGTCCAAGTGCAAAAAAGAGAGGACGTTACGTCTATAGTATAAGTAGTCACAAACAAAACAGCACAGTACCCAATGACCTTACACATCATGCGCGACATGTAAGTCGACTTCCTATTAATTCATCTGGGATATGTACAAGCCAATCGTCTTCCGCGATAACGACCCTGGACATTGTGGGGTTGTTGCGCATGTGTCGTCAGTAGTGGTTATCTTGTCTGGGCGGGGAAAGGAATACCCCACTCGGTTAGACCTGGTGTCTATCGATGCGACTCTTGATAACAGGGATGGACGTCCGAACAGCATGCCTGCAATGTGGTCTGGGGGCGCAACAATTCCACAACGCGTTTAGATGAGTTGCGCCGTGACGCCGTTGGGGAACAGGAGTTGGCTTTGAACTTGATATTGTCTAGCTGGGGTGAGTCCGGATTACCCCCACTTTGTGTCTGACGACTTGTATTCATGTGTGTGTACTATGCGCTTTTCCGATTTGTACGTTGTAGCAAGCAGTAGTCGCCCCATTGGCGACGGAACTTGGAGGGGATGATAGATAGGTCTGGGACCCAGAGCATGCGACTGATGGTATGGGTCTTGCTTGCGTCCAAGAAAGGAACACACTTCAACGCTTTCCAATGCTCTGTATCAGAGATGTAGTCCGGTTCAAGCGCTGTTGATGGAGCGCCAGCAGAGCGAGAATCAACGATGAAGTCGCACTGCTCGATATCGGTCTGTTTCGTCAGGTTAGTGAGATCCACGTCCTCATTCCCTAGTTCACATACATATTTGCTGGGATCTTCTAGGTTCTCATCGTTCATTCCAGTCGGTATAAGCCAGGTGCCGGGGAATAGTCCAAGACTGGCGTCGGCTTCGCTGAACTCGCCGGGTAGGAGGCCTGAGAACTCGCTCTTGATGAACTTGGCGCGGACACCTTGGGGGAGGTTGAAGGAAGACGGGAAGCGATACCACTCTTTGCCTAGACATACGGTGTCACCTGGGTGAGAGACTGTGGAATCGAACAATGGCTTGTAAACGTTGAGTGGCGCCGAGTATGCGGACATGTGACCTGAAATGTGTTAAAGATCTATTCAAGGTCCACCAAAGGCGCTAGTGCCTGTTGATCAATAGTATCAGAGGTGATACATACCATGAATTCTAAGGATGCCCAGATTCAAGGACAGGACGATGGGAACACAGACGATGACGAGCTTCACCATTGGAGGTATTTTGCTGACTAGGCGTCGTGGGTCCATCGAACCAAAGTTGGCTAGCAAGATGTGCAAAGAGAGGGCTGCGTTCCATGCTAATGCAGGATACGCTGGATACATGAAACGCTCCTCTTTATGAGGCTGGACGGTGAATATTGCCGACCACAAGTAGAATGGGCTGACGAAGGTGATGGACCTCGTGAGCGTGTTCCGATAGACAGCCCTGTCAAATACGAGGTACTGGACCAGCAGCAGCGGGAGAGCAGCCAGCGCAAGGAAGAACCAAATGTTGAAGTTGAGCGCTAGATTTCGAACGTAGAAATGCCATGGCTCTACACCGTAGATATCAGGGCCTCTACTACCACCACTGAAAACGTTGTATAAAACGATGTTGAGCGGCACGCACACGAGCTTCCTGTAAAACAGCGAGTCGATGGCTGTCTGCAAGATTACGATAGCAAGGGCTCTAGGTGCGCCTTGAAGTAGTATGCGACGCAGACTCTCTTTGATGGTACCGGTGAACACGCCCGCGATGAAATCTTCCGCAATAAAGGGAAGGGCGAGCGCGCCTGCAAAGGGCCAACCCAAAGCACTACCGACGGCGAACCATGCAATACCTTGTGCAGTCCTCATCTTACGTCCGGACCAGTCCATGAAAGACGCAAATCCAAGCATTGCACAATTCATGGCGAAACTCGACGGAAGATATGCAGGGGAAGCATGATACATGCCGGGGCTTATGACCATGATCATGGCGAAGAAGGACGCAACGCGCACCTCAAACATCTTCATGATAGCCGTATACATGCGAGCCTGGCATCCTGCGCAGGCTATGGCCAGGACTGCTCGGAGCAAGTAGAACTCGAACACCTTGGATCTTTCCAAGCCTAGCGCCTGCAGAGGCAGCGTCGCGAGTCCTATTACGAGTGAGTGTATAGCAGTGTAGGCCCAGCTTCTGATGGCATAGTCAGGAGAGTACTCCCAAGTCTGGAGGCCGTAGCCATGGTTGAGGTAGTGGCTTGGTTCCCAGTAGTTGAAGACTTCGTCGCAGTCTTGGATCGGCGAGAGGGCGGCGGCGGTGAGATTGGCTAGGGCGAACACGCAGAAGATGCCGAACGTGGAGAGATGGGGTGGTGTACTGGACACATGATGCATACGTTAGCCTGTGATCGCAGGGTAGGGGATTGTGGCATGGCTCAATTGAACTCACTCAGGGGCCGAATGCGCCGTCTTTGAGCGCGATGCAGACATGTCAGCGACAATGATTCCAGAACGTGACGGCAACCTCCATCACAGAGTATCGTCACTTTCACAGAATGACGCGGTGGGTCTCGCGGTCATAGGGCTGAGCTGCGCGTGCCCGCCAAGCTTGTTAGCGCGCATCCAAAAAGGCGACGTTCTTCCCTGAAGCGCTCCTTTCAACCAGAACTATCATCGCACGCATTTAAGCAAACTGGTGCAGACAACGCAGTGGATAACTCAGCCATCACGCGTGCTTCAGAGAAGACTGCAGAGAGAGACACGAGCAATGTCCGACTCTCTGGAACCACCGGCCAAAAGGGCGCGGTTGGAGGCGGACGCTCCCTTTTATGGCACATCTACATCTGCATCTGCGCTCGACGCGCCGGGCTCGCCTGTCGATGACATGGACGACGACTTCTACGACACTACGCCCGTCAAGCCCTCTGCGCTGCCCTCACAGGCGGACGGAGCGACGTCGTTGTTGGCGACGGCGGCACCCGCGCCGGCCTTTCACCTTCCTGGACTCGGCTCTGTGAGCGAGACCCCGGCCGCGCAGTCGCAGCCGCAACCACAAAACGGCGCAGTCGTCTCAGACGACGCCCCGGAAGACGGCGAGCTCTCGGATGACGAGGCCTTCTACAATGATGCGAGCCCGCAGGCCGCCATCCCAGTCGAGCCGCCCGTAGCCAATCACGGCCAGGCGCAGGATGAGGCTCCACAGCTCCAGGCCGTCGCTGCTGCCGATACTCCAGCGGCCGACACAGACGGCGAGCTCGACGCGGCCCTGACCGCCGCCATAGACCTCCAGAACGAGATTGAAGACACCACCAATGCTCCTGCCCCCGACGGCGCGGCGTTCGATAGCAAGGCCGAGTTCCTGCGCGCCGCCGAAGCCAACAGAAATGACCAGAGCGCCGAGTGGCAGCTCGACTCAGATGCATCCGACTCAGACTCATCGTCCGACTCCTCCAGCTCGGACGACAGCTCCGATGAGGGCTCAGACGAGGGCGAGCTGCTCGACCCCGAAGAGCAGGTCCGTCTCTTGATGGCAGAGGCCGCCGACGAGCCAGGCGCGTCCGGCCCAGTCAAGGTCAAGACGCTCAACGAACAAGACGAGAAGTTCGAAATGCCCGACATCACAGTCACGCCAGAGACCAAGATCACAGAGCTGGGCAAGGTGGAGTCCATTGTCGGGAACCTCGTTGTTGTAAAGGCCAAGATGTCTGGCGACGAGCAAGTGCTGGAGTCCGGCTCGGCGCTGTGCCTCGAAAACCGCACTGTTGTCGGCAAAGTCTCCGAGCAGATTGGTCGCGTGGAGGAGCCACGCTACTCCTTTGGCTTTAACGATGCCGCTGAACTCGAGACTCTAGGTATCAAGAAGGACACATCCATCTACTACGTGGACGAGCACTCGACCTTCACCGAGACAGAACCCATTCGCCGACAGAAGCACACCGACGCATCGAACCTCCACGACGAGGAGACCAACGATGTCGAGTTCTCAGACGACGAGAAGGAGGCCGAATACAAGCGCGAACAGAAGGCTAAGAAGCGAGCCAGGCAAGAAGGCAACGACGAGCCAGTGGCGCCCGTCAACATCCCCACCGGGCCCAGACTACACGTCGACGCTCCCGCACCGCCCATCTACCGTCCCATGGAATACCAGGGTGGTGGTTTGAAATACAGCGATGACGAAGACGAAGATCTCGGCATGTACAAGCCGCTCGCCAGACCAGATCACTTCGAGCAGATTGTTGGGCAAGGCGCACCATTAGAAGATCGCAGCCATGTTCGCAGGGGCATGGGTCGCGGCAGAGGCCCCTGGGGCGATCGGGGTCGTGGCTTCCGTGGCCGAGGAGGTGGTGGCGGTCGCGGTGACTTTGGTGGTGGACGCGGCGACAGAGGAGGCTTTGGCGGCGGACGTGGCGACTTCGGGGGTCGTGGTGGTGGAGGACAGCGAGGCGATCGAGGAGGCGGCAACAACAACCAGAACAACCGAGGCGGAGATAAGGGTGGGCGTGGCGGCAAGAATCAATCTGACCGTGGCAGGCAACCAGAGCAGTTCCAAGATCGCCAACAGAACAGCCAGAGGAATCAATACCAAGAAGGACGGTCCGCAACCTCGGCATCGCCAGCCCGCCAACAGCAAGATCGCAGCCAGTCTTACACCCAGCAGGATCGTGGCCAGTCTCAGCAAGCCCAATCACAGCAATCGCCAGCCGGCGGTGGTGGGAAGAACAAGAACCGCAAACAACGGCAACGCGAAAAGAGGGAACGAGAACGCCAGCAACAACAACAGCAGCAGCAGCAGTCACAACAGTCTCAACAACCTCAAAAGCAGCAACAGCAGCAGCAACATGCTTCACCGGCACCTTCTGGACCATCAAATGCTAACGCCTATGCAAACAACAGCAGCGCAGGTTGGCCAGTGCCCTTCTCCGGTCCCTCACAGCCAGCAGTCCCCTATGCTGCCGCACCTCCGCCCCCACCGCCAGCAGCAGCAGCGGCCTACAACTACCAGC